AAAGCACACTAATATTCAAAAACCACTGAATTCCTTTTCCATCTCCTCTTTTCAGGTGTCCATAAAACTCTGACCCTTGAGAACTAGATTTCAACTGGGTAACAAAACTGTGGTTTATTTTAATAGGAATGAGCAGGCAGTGTAGGCTGGGAGATGGTGAGCAAATTTTATTAAACTTGTTCTGAAAGATATAGAATTATTTCTTTGCTCATTAAAAATGTTTACTCATTATCCATGTGATTTTAGACTTTGGACAGGATAGGGACATAGAACAGGTTTGCTGGCAGACCCCTCATACTGAGGGGAAGGAGGGCAGTATTGGTAAAAGAATATGCTCTTCAAATCTCCTGTCCTCCAGCCACTTAAACACACAGCCACCCAGAATCACTGGTTTCCTATCAGATGCTCCATGGCCTTATAGGAAAAAGAGATTCCCCATCTGAACAAGGGGCAGGAAATAGAAAAACATTCCTTGATTTAATAAAGCCTTGGAGTTTAGATTTTCACCTCATGCCTAATCTTTGGATGTGGAGAAGACTGGATTATTCTAAATGGATTTTTTTTTTTTTTTTGGAGAGATTTTTGCTATAGGGCGCATGCACTCGCCAGACAGACAGCGAGAGACATAGAGACAGAAAGCGAGAAATCATCCCCCAGGGGGGATGGTCACGCCGCAATCCCTTCTCCTCCATTCTCCTCTCGGGATCCTGGGCACGCATGCACACGCGCCTGGTGTGAGTTTTAAGCCACCGGGTCCAGGATGCGAACCGTGGTCGACTACGTGGGAGTCCAGCAACATAGCCATTACGCTAACTGCTGGTTCCCGATTTTTTTTTTAATGAGGAAGAAGAAACAGAATGGTGGTACTTTTAATCCCTCTCATTCAAAATATTGGCCATTTTTCAAACAAGACCCATAACCTTTTCCACAATAGCTACGAATTTTGTAAAATTAGAGAAATACAGAAGAGAGTGAAGAGGAGAGTAGCAAAAATAGATAAAGTGCCCTTTTTTGTGAGTGGCTTTCATGTACTGAAATTACCTGAGTCACCAACTCAGAGTTCAGATATAACTATTAATTTTCCAATTAACCCCTAGCTCATGCACATTATATTATTAGGGATTCTAGAATCTCTTTTTTTTTTATCTTTATCCCCCAGATCTCAACAATATCCTTGAATTGTGCAAGAATTCCAGGAGCTTGGGACCAGCAGTTAGCGTAATGGCTATGTCGCTGAACTCCCGTGTAGCTGACTGCGGTTCAAGTCCCGGACCCAGTGGCTTAAACTCACGCTGGGCACGTGTGCATGTGTGCCCAAGATCCTGAGAGGAAATTGGAGAAGGGATCGCCGTGTGGTCATCCCACCAGGGGGTGATTTCTCGCTTTCTGTCTCTCTGTCTCTGTCTGTCTGGCGAGCACACATGCCCTATAGTAAAAACCTCTCACAAAAAAAAAAAAAAAAAAGAATTTCAGGAGCTTACACAGTTGCAAGGAGGTTTATAATTATCTTCCAAGAGATAAATGAGTATCCACTACAATTTCTATGGACCCTGCCATGAGTTGATAACTATTCTTGACTTCTGATATTAAGATGGCCTTGCCTAGGTCTATAGTCCTCCATGCGAAGATTACAACTCTTCTGGATTCACATTTCCTTGCTTAGTCATTATTCTCTAGAGCACAAACATTGGTATTTAGGTGCTTATGTGTGGAGGAGCACCCACCATGACCTAAAGATGTGTGCCCAAGCCTAGCCTCCCTCACTCTGGCAAATTGCATCATTTGTCCCAGTTTTCTACCCCTCCTTATATCCTGCTTTTTGCCACATGACTTTAGAATGTCCTCACTGAAGGGGCAGAGTATATCTTCCAGTCATCTACCTGTGGATTTGGTCATGTGACTTGCCTTAGCTAATAGAAAAAAGAGGAAGTAACAGTGTGTCAGTTCTGCAACTGGGCCTGAAGAAGCCTCTTTCCTCTTAACTTATTGAACAGAGTTGATTGAGCATCCCAACCAACGCCAGCCTGGATAGCTGAGTGCCAGCAGACCCACACACGCTGGAATGAGCTATACAGCTGAGCACAGCACAGATCAGCCAACCCTGAATCAGTTTAATCAATATAAAGACTCCAAGGCTAAGTAGTGCTTATGAGTTTTGTCACTGACATTTTATGGTTGTTTGCTCTACAGTATTATTGTGGTCATTGTTCACTGGCCCAGGAACTATCAGCTCTGCACTGAGCTCGGGCCATCAACTTAGATTCTCCTTTTTCTCAAGATCATTTCACTTTAAGAAACTTTGAAGATCTTCTCTATCCCTGGCCTTGGTTACGGGCTAACCAGGTCTACTTAGAGAGGATCACTAAAATTTTGATCCTTTAGATACAGGGTTGAGATCTCAGCTCCTGTTTTTCCCAGAAGGCCCCTGAGATCCTTTTGCAAAAGTTTCATATCCCCTTGCTAAAGCTTCCCTTCCTGCGGATATAGGTAAGGATCAGATATCTGAAAGTTCATTTATATCTTTCTCCCAGAAGATGATAATCTGATCAAATAACACTTATGTAACTAACAGGTATTCCTTAAGATGTGCCTTTGCTGGATCTTGAAAGCTTCTCTGGCTAGAAGAAAGTCTCTGACAATACACTGTATTGTGTAAGTATATGCCTTGGCATGGCATGCTATTACACATGTACTCATAGAGCAATGATTTTATTAACTAATTTCACATGGAAGAAAACCAAAGCATAGAGAGTGTATAAACCTTCTCTAAGTTCAAACACCTAAGGAAAGATAGAGTCAGGATCAGAATTAAGGTTTTCAAGATATCCATTCAGTTTTCTTGACACTTAAAGCATGTAGGGTTTCTAATTGAAGCCCAATAAATAGCTCCTATCTTTACCTATGTTCTGCACATACTGACAAATAAAGCAAAGAACTGGCAAATGCAGAACAAAAGCATCCTTTGTTTTTGATAGAAGTCAGGTTGGAAAATCTCCCTTGAAAGTATTAAAAGCAGACTAGATCATACAGAAAATAGAATCTCTAATGTAGAAGAGAAAATGGTTGGCCTAGAAAAATCCACCGCGAAGACTGAGAAAATGGCCCAAAAATTTGAGAATAATATGCGAGAAGTACTAGATACAATTAAACGTCCAAACATCCGGATAATAGGCATCCCAGAAGGTGAAGAGACTCATAAGGGCATTGATAATCTATTCCATGAAATCCTACAAGAAAATTTTCCAAACCTGGAGAGGCACTCGAAGATTCAGTCCCAAGAAATACAGAGGACCCCAAATAGAATCAACACAAGAAGATCTTCTCCAAGACACATTATAGCCAGATTGACCAAAACCACAGACAAAGACAAGATACTAAGATTGGCAAGAGAAAAAAGGCAAGTTACCTACAAAGGGTATCCCATCAGACTAACGGCAGACCTCTCATCGGAAACAATGAGAGCGAGGAGAGAATGGGAAAATGTATTCAAAGTATTAAGGGAAAAGCAATTTCAACCGAGAATTCTGTACCCAGCAAGGTTATCGTTCATTTGGGAAGAAAAGACACGAACTTTCCCAGATAAACAAAACCTGAAAGAATTTACCAGCACCAGACCGGATCTCCAAGAAGTTCTTAAGGGAGTGCTATGTCAGTAAAATTAAATGCAGACACACAGAAATAAGAGTTCAGAAACTAAGAAAATGGGCAACTTAATTGTAGGGCCAAAAGCTGGAGTTGAGTATTACATCCCAGATTTCAATCTGGAACATCGAACCTCAACAGATACAGAAGAAAGATTAAGTACATGAGACTGAACTGATGAAACAGTATTCTACGACTTGACTAAAATATTGCTGCTTTTCTTCTAAGCTTTGTTGTCTGGTTTTAAGGACTTTTGTCCTGTCTTCAGCTATCAATAGATTCATGTTCCGACTATTTGAACAGAATACTAACCTGTTTCTAGGCTTTAAGTTTCAAAGAAATATCCTTACCAGTTCAAAACTGCTTTTCTTGAAACCATCGGCTGATCTTGCTATTGAAAGTAGTTAGATTACTTATGATATTGTGTGATCAACGAAATGTTGGGGGAAAAGGAATTGAAGACAACTGTAGACAGCAGAGATAGTGTAATAAGAGAGTGGAATAGGGCAGAGGGCTAGACATGGGGTAAAAAACATATATATGAAAGTAGAAATGGAATATTATGGATGATAACATGCATTATTAAGCCACTATATAGTATATTCTAGATGGGAAACCACATTTAGAATGTTGTGATGATGCTCAGGGAATGAATGTAAATTAATAAAAAAAAATTTCAGAAGAAAAAAAAAGGCATTAGAAATACCTATTTGATGACTGCAGTTAAGCTATATAGCCCTAGTTAGGTGCTACTTTACAGTATGTTCATTCTATTCACTGAGGTTTATGCCTAAAGTCAGTCTTGTGTTCATGGATATGTACATATCAGCTGTGCTTGCTATTGAAAATATTTAGATTTATTAAGATATTTAGTGAAACAATAAAATGGGGGAGGCATAGAAAGCAACAATAGATACCAGACACAGTGTGGGAGGAGGGTGGGAGATGGCAGAGGGTGAGATAGGGAATCAAGGATGGGAAAAAAGGCAAAATATACAGAAAACAAGAAATGGAAAATGATTTGTTGACAGTAACACATATGTTGATGTGCTTGATTGAGCCAAAATACAGTGTATTCTCAATGGAAAAATCTCATTTTGTATGCTATAATGATGTACAGTGAATGATGTAAATAAAGAAAAAAATGTAAAAAAATAAAATAAAATAAAATAAATTTAAAAAAAAAAAAGATAGAAGTCAGGTTGGAAGATGTGGTCATTGATTAGCCAAGTGGCCCTTGTAACACTGGACCCCAGTGGGGAAAAAGAACCCTTGCCTAGCAGAGCAAAATGAAATACTTTCTCTGTGTGAGAAACTCATTCTCAAGAGGAGGAAGGATGAAGATAAGTTGAACCTACCTAGACTATTAGTCAAGATGCTCCATCATCCCTGAGGGAAGGTTGAGTAATGGAGAGCAAGAGTCCCAGAGTTACCCTAAATGAGCTCCCTATAATAAGAGGAAAAATCATGAGTAAGGTAAAAATATTCCTACAACATACCATATTTATTTAATATCAATTTCACTTAGGTTTCATTAGAAAAGTCCACATCTTATCCATCTCATTTCTATAAAGCCAGATAGTATCTTCTAAATCTCTGTTAACAAGGACAATAGAAATTTTTTAGCCTTTAACCTCTGAAGCACTGTGAAGTAGTATACCCCGACCTATCCTGAAATCACACCACTACATTCAACCATCAGTTCTGTCTCTGCAAAGTTGTTCTGACTGTCCTTGACACAAGAAAAGCCTCTCTGTGAGTCACTGATTTGTTAACTAGTGAAAACTTATCTTAATTCAAATAAAGTTGTCATTTTCTGTCCCACCCCCATCTTCAGATGTATTGGGTCATCGGAAAAGTCATGATGTATTCTTCTGTTTTTCTATGCAAAAATGCATCATGACTTTTCTGACAACCCAATAGTAGGCCCAGATCCATTCATCTGTTAGAAGAATCTGCATCTTAAGTAGGTAGCCATCTTAGTACACTTCCAATCCATCACCAACTCCAGCACTTATCAGCTTCTTGAAGCCAATGCACAATGCACATTAAAAGGATAAGACTTGATAGATGAATTTTGCAAACCAAGGCGGCGAATATGACCAATTGCCAAAGCCTTTTTATAAAGTAGGTGGAGAGCAGGACTGGTTCTCATCATATCCTGTCTCCACCATCTTGATTCATCAACACTGAAAAGGGGGAGGCTGTGGAGGGGGAAGTGTGTGTGTGTGTGTGTGTGTGTGTGTGTGTTTCAAATTGCATTTTTTTGGCTACATCTCCAGTGAGATGATTAAAGAACTTTAGCTCTTTGCAACCAACTCAGCCAAAAGTTTAACTATGCTTCGCTTTCCCAATATGGTTCTCATTTGCTTTCAACCTCATTCATTTCTTATTATTTGTCTTTCAGAGAAAAAGGCAGCAAGAAAAATCAACATTGGGCTTTTTAATTAGGGCCTGAATTCTTGCTGGTATATTTCAGGAAGGCAATTGGTACTTTTTGCCCCACTCTCTGGAGAACCTTATAATGTGGTTCTATTCATTCATCAAGGCTCTCTGCACAGCTCTGGGGCCTGTCTCAGTTTGGCAGTCCTTAAATTTGTTTTCATGTGGAATTGTGGAATTGTGGATATTGCCTAAGCTTGTTAAACTAGTGTTTCTCTCTGCAGAACACCAGCAAGCAACTACTGAGATAATCTCATTGCTCTTCACTGGAAAGACAAGAAGCAAGGATTTTAATCTGACTTTGTGGTTTTCATAATTTAAAAAAGGTAAACACTGAAACTTTCACTCCCTCCACTTCCAGATTCCCCAGATTCTAATCATCCACCTCCTTTTTTTTTTTTTTAATTGCTTAGAGTGCGTGCAAGCTCCAGGGAGACAGAAAGATGAAGAAATGAGGTATGATCATGCTACAGTCCCTTCTCCTCCATTTCTATATCCCATCAGGACTTGGGACACTCACACACATGTGCCCAGTATATTTTTAAGCCACCGGAGTCAGATTTGAACCATAGTCATGTGGGATCTGACTCCCTTAACCACTAGGCAACTGGGCCACCCTACACAACATTCTAATTCTGATTCCCTGTTTACTTAATATGTAAAGTACTGACACCTTAATCTCAATCTCATTTTTCATGATAAATAAAATAAAAATAACTCTGAGGTTATGTTTCCAACTATGAAACCAAATAGAGTCAGGAAGAGAAGTCATGTGTCTCTTTTCTGTTCACTTTTATGTCTCTAGAAAAAAGGCCGATGTGGTTCAGTCCCTATTCAAGTAAGGGATTGAAATCTCAGAAGAACTGGGAAATTAACTGATCTTTACCAATAGAGAGCATTCTTCAACAAATCAGCTAGGCTGGCAATGGGCCCACAAAGCTCCCTCAGCCTCAGCACTAACTGGGACTATTACTTTGTAGAGTAAAAGGCAAGAGAAGGCTCAGCAAAATATCCAGACTTAGCAGAGGAGGAAACAGACTAGAAGCAATATTAAGAATTGGAAAAAGGGAGTCAAATGGGGGTGGTATAGCAATAAAATGCAACGTTCTCTGAGGCAGATCCATATTGGAAAATTCTGAGTTCACATCTATAGACCTTCCTGAGTATATGGGCACATATGCCCATGGTCCAGGGCTGGCTGAGGCTAGGGGTAGATCACAGCATCATACTGACTCTCTGTCTCCCTTTTTTCTTTCTCACTCATGGAAAAAAAAAAAAAAAAGACTAAAAATTCTATTAAAGGGACCAGCTGGTAGCATAATGGTTACATCACTGGACTCCCACATAGTCGACCGCAGTCGTTTTTTGTTTTTTGTTTGTTTGTTTTTTGGAGAGGTTTTTGCTATAGGATGCGTGCGCTCACCAGACAGACAGAGAGAGAGACATAGAGACAGAAAGCGAGAAATCACCTCCCAGGGGGGATAGGCACGCTGCAATTCCTTCTCCTCCATTCTCCTCTTGGGATCCTGGGCACGCACGCACACACGCCCGGCGTAAGTTTCAAGCCACCGGGTCCGGGACGCGAACTCTGGTCGACTACGTGGGAGTCCAGCGACATAGCCATTATGCTAACTGCTGGTTCCCGAGTCAACCAGTTTGAGTTCCAGATCTGGTGGCTTATACTCATGCCAGGCATGTGTGTGCATGCCCAAAATCCCAAGAGGAGGGTATCCCCCCCCCCGGGGGGGGGGGGGTGATTTCTCACTTTCTATTTCTTTGTCTCTGTCTCTCCAGTGAGCACACATGCCCTCTAGCAAAAATCTCTCTCAAAACAAAACTTCTATTAAAAAGAATTTAACATTTTTTTTCTGAACAAATTAAGAAAACAAGTACATGATTTAGTGCAAATAGTCATCTTGGAAAATCGAGCTTACTTGAGCAAGACATAGCAAGACATGAGCTTCTTGAAGTGGTTTAATCTTCACTAAAGACAGGGAGAAAGGAGCAAGAATAGGTTATGAGAACAAAGTCGATCAGCCAACAGGGAACTGGAGGTGCCAACTTAGACATTGAGGCCAGGTGCAGGTATGACTGCTTCCTGGAGACCAAGCAGGCACCCAGGTCGAGGACTCCTCCAGTGTTATATATCTAGTCAATTTTTAATCCGGGCCAATCCTACCTCAGTTTTTTTTCATTTTTATTTTTATTTTATTTTATTTTATTTTAGAGAGAGGGTTTTGTTTTTTGTTTGTTTTTGTTTTTCTATAATGCGCATGTGCTTGCTGGAGAGACAGAGAGACAGAAAAACAGAAAGCAAAAAATCACCCCCTCAGCGGGTATAGCCATGCCACAATCCCTTCTCCTCCATTCACCCCTTGAGATTTTGGATATACATGCGTGAGTTTTAAGCCACTCAGTCCAGGACTTGAACCACAGTCAACCTCACGGGAGTCTAGTGATGTAACCATTACACCACCAGCTGGTCCCTCCTCCTTCTGTTTTAACCTCTATATGCCCGACACTGGGTGAATAACTAGAAATGTAACGATGAAAAACATAAGATTTCTTATAGAAATAATAGATCTGATAGGAGGTTCTTATTGGGGAGGGGGACTAATAGGACCAAGAAAAGAAACAACTGCTCAGAATTCTGACATGCAGATATCTACCCAATAATTTTATTGTAGTAATAGAGGACTTTTGGTAACACGGGTATCTATGAGCCCTGCAGAAATTAGAGTTGGAAGTAAGAGAGAAAATAAGGTACTCATAGCCACGTGGGATAAGAATGTAGAATGTTTCTGCAAGCCGTATCCCTTTGCCAACATTAGGAATGTCTGTATGAACAGGATATGCTGTCAATAGAGTGACTGCCAAGTGAGACCATTCATTTTCTCCTCTCCAAGGCAGGGTCTCACCATGTTGCTCTCCTCCTTCCTCAGTTTCCTAAGTAGCCTCCACAGGTGCATATCGCAGTGTCCAGCTTTAGGGGTGGGCAGGAATCTAACCTGGATCTCCCACATGGACTGAGCCTGCGACATAGTTGTGCCACCAATGCACTACAAGTGTTGGGCCAGGATGGTTCATTTTATGTATCAACTTGAGTGGGAACTGTGTGCCTAAATTAAACATTATTTCCCAGTGTGTCTGTTAAGGTATTTTTGGATAAGATTATCATTTGAATGAATGGACTCGGTAACATAGAATGTCCTCTCAGTGTGAAAGGATATCATGCAATCAATTGAGGGCCTTAATCCACTCCTGCTGCTGTAACAAAATTAATTTAGGAAAAGCATAAATATATTGCTCATGTTATGGAGGCTGGAAAGTTCACAATCAAGGTCTGCTTCTTGGTGAAGGCCCAGTCTCTGATTCCAAGATGAAACCTTGCTACTGCATTCTCTGGAGGGGACCAGCATTGTGTCCATGTGGTAAAAGGGACAGAAAAATAAATGCTACCCCTCAAGACTTTCCTTCCTTTCTTCCTTCCTTCCTTCCTTCCTTCCTTCCTTCCTTCCTTCCTTCCTTCCTTCCTTCCTTCCTCCCTCCCTCCCTCCCTCTCTCTTTCTTTCTTTCTTTCTTTCTTGAGAGCTTTTTTGTTATAGGGCGCATGCACTCGCCAGAAAGACAGAGAGAGACAGAGAGACAAAAAGCGAGAAATCACCCCCAGGGAGGATGGCCACACCGCAATCCCTTCTCCTCCATTTTCTTCTCAGGATCTTGGGCATGCAGGCACACACCCGGCATGAGTTTAAGCCACTGGGTCTGGGACTTGAACCGCAGTTGACTACATGGGAGTCCAGTGACAAAGTCATTACACCAACTGCTGGTCCCCTCTCAAGGCTTTTGATAAGAGCAAAAATCCCACCCATGAGGTTGGAACCCTCATGACCTAATCACATCCCAAAGACTCTACCTCTTAATACCATCACCTTTAAGTTCCAAAATATGAATTTTGCTTTTTTTAAAGAATTATTTTATTATTATTATTTTTAAAATTTGACC